TTTTTTTTTTAAATAGAGAAAATAAAGGAAAAAATCATACCGCGCGTTTCACTGAACGAAAAAAACGAGCGGAAAAACGAGCTGAAAAAAACCGCTCAGGTGTGAAACCAGCCTTATTGAAGGACAAAGCCAAAAGTGGAGTGAGGGGAAATCTCCTTAGACATCCTTTTCCTCAGAGTCCATAAGGTGAGCAGACGGTTGAGCAGTCTGCAACAGTCCTCAATGGACATCCTCTGCCCCCGGTGAGATGCACTTCCTACCGTGTTTCCCCGAAAGTAAGACCTACCATACACTCCCGCCGGCCGCAGCTCCCGCCCACACGCCCGATGGAACCGGCATAACATCACACCGGGACCGGCAACAGCACGCTGCCTTCTGGGACGTCCAGTCCTCCCCCAGCCAGGTAAGACATCCCCCGAAAATAAGACCTAGTGTCTTTTTTCGTGCAAAAAAGAAAATAAGACAGTGTCTTATTTTCGGGGAAACACGGTAGCACATCACAACGCGTCCTTAAAGCCGCTGTTGGACCCTCTAAACCAGTATCACAGGGGCGGCCGCCATTCATGGCCAGAACCCTACGCATGCACTCTCTCTACTGTCGCCATGGCTGAGCTCACAAGCTATGTGCGGGGCTATGACCAAGGCCGTCGCTCTCTCCTGTAATGCTAGCAGCAAGCGTCCAGTGGCCAGCTCATCCTGGCAATAGGGTGAAACTATGCAAAATATTGGGGTTTTTTCTAGGGATGCACCGATACTCGTACTCGCCCAAATGCTCCGATGCCTAGCCCGATACATCCGTTATCAGGAAGCCTGGCAGCAAGTCATTATATGCTGCCCGGCTTCCTGATTGGCCGGGATGCCGGCACCATGCTCCCTAGTCACTTGTGATGAGGGAGCACGGTGCCGGCCTCCCGGCCAATCAGGAAACCAGGCAGCGTTTAATGACTCGCTGCCCAGCTTCCTGATTGGTCGGGAAGCTGGCCAATAAGGAAGCCGGGTGCCATGTAATGACGCAGCTTTCTAATTGGCCAAGAAGCCGACTTCATGCTCCCTCGTCACTTCATGACGAGGGAGCATGGAGCCGGCTTCCCGACCAATCAGGAAGCCGGGCCTTGCGTCATTACACAGCGCCTGGCTTCCTGATTGGCCAGAAAGCCGGCTCCATGCTGTCTCGTCACCCAGTGACAAGAAGCATGGGGACGGCTTTCCTGCTAATTGGGAGGCCAGGTGGCGAGTCATTACACGCCGCCTGGCTTCCTTAATGGGACTTCTGGTATCGGCGAGTGCCGAAAAATATATTGGTCCTCGTACTCAATACTGAAAAATCGGTATCAGTGCATCCCTAGTTTTTTTTCCAACAAGCTTCAGCATGATTGCAAATGGGCTGCAGGTAACGCAGATACATTCATGAAGATCTTTAAAAGCTGTTTAGTTTATTGTTGGCACTCCAGCTGCAGTGATAACTTTGGGAGTCCTGCCTGTTCCTGTCATAGTCCTGCAATGCCTCGTGGGGAGATATAGCTTCACCACAACCGGAGGGCTGAGGTTGCCTACACCCGCCACAGGTTTTTTTTAATAAAGGTGAATAAACCTTTTAAAGTCAGCAGTACCT